GGCTAGCCAGGTGGGGAGAAAAGCAAAATGCAGAGATTAGGATATGCAGAAGCATCAATTTGCATAATTCAATTAAGGTAGCAACTGAATTATTTTAGGAGGCTATTGTTTTGGTTGAGGCCTATACCCAGTTGACATTCCTGGAGCTGACTGGCTTTGCCATCCTGCTGTGCCCGTATCTTGTATAGAGAGCACTATGGGAGGAAACAGGAGACTGTCTGATGGCTTTCGAGATTACATACCAGTACCTCTGCTAGCCTTATGTGCCATGCTTAGAGGCAATTGAAGAGACAAGGAAATACCAGTCTGTTGGGAGCCACCACATTGCCGAGCCGCCGCATATAGCGATCATGCGGCCTGTGGTAAAGAGTAAAGCCTGAGTTAGATTACCCCTCCCATCGAGCACGTTAGTTTCCTGCTTACCGCGTAAACAACCCGCTCAATAATATGTTAGCCAATCAGCTTGCCTTGCTTACTTTAACATGATTGGACACTGTATCCGTATATATACTGGTGCCACCCCTGGGGGGAAGTAGAAGCCCGGAAGGAGCCGCGGAGAGCGGACCGGTAGAGGCTTCGGAGCGAAGCACGGAAGGAGCCACGGGGAGCGGACCAGAGGAGGCTTCGGCTGGGAGCGATCCCAGGGCAGGCTGTACGGAGAAGGAAAATAAAAGAAAAGGTTGTCCACTGCCAGACTTTGTCGTGTGTCCTTCCTGCCGGCCGGGAGCGACATCGACACTAGTCAGCTCTGTACATATCAGTATAAGGAAATCTGTCTCTATATAATCAAAATTGTTCTGCATTCAAGGGGAGTCACTTGAGTTTTCTCCCATAATGTCAGTCCTCTGGCTTTATTCTGTTTCAATATCAGCCAGTCTACATATTTGTTCTCTTAGACACTTTGGAATCATTTTATTTATATCCATAAAATAACTTGCTAGAGTTTCCTTGAGATGCATTCAATATATAATCAAGTTGGGACAAACTGACATTTTGATAATATTGCCTCTTCCTACTCATGAGCATGGAATATCTCTTCATTTTATTTAGTCTTTTTTTTTTACAAAAATTTTGCACATGCTTTGTTATCTTTATATCTAAGTTTTTCATTAAGGGTGCTAATGTAAGTGTCATTGTATTTTTAATTTCAAATTATATACTTCCTGTGTACTTAGGATGAATGTGAATTTGGATGTTGGATAAAGTAATCTATAGATATCCATTATATCTGATCGATTGATTAATGTTTTTTGGTTTTAGTTTTTGTTTCCTTACCAGTTTTCTGCCTATTGAATCTATTCATTATAATCTCCAACTATAATGGGGATTACTCTTTTTCCTTGCACTTCTATCAGTTTTTGCTTCATGTATTTTGATGTTTTGTGGATGCATGCACATTAAGTACTGTTATGTCTTCTTGGAGGACTGAGCATGTGTTCTCATATGATATCCCTTTTTATCCTTGATAATTTGCCTTTGCTCTGAGAAGTGTCCTGTCTGAAATTAATATACTTGTTTCCTTCTGATTAATAGTAGTGCAGTTTATCTTTCTCCATTGTTTTACTTTTAATCCACATGTTTTTATTTTATTTTATTTTATTTTATTTTTTGGTACTGGAGATTGAATCTTGGATCTTGCCAAACAGGTGCTTGTGCCGCTGAGCTAAACCCCCACCCCTGTTTTTATATTTAAAATTAGTTTCTTGTAGACAGCATATAGTTAGTTCTTTTTTACAAAATCTGTTTGTCTTTTAGTTGAAATCGTGACCTTAATACAATGAGCGTGGGGCTGCCGCCATGACACTCTACTCATCATGCATATTATATGGGTCTGTGCACTGAAGTCTCTTCTATCCCTTTGTAGTGAGGGGTAAGTTTGTAGAAAGCCAATGATATTTTCTTATTTTCTGGACATCCACTTTTAGTTCATGTTTCATAGGAGACACAGGTTTTGCCAAGCAGATGTACTTGTCTGAGTTTTAGGAGGCAGAAATTAACATAATGAAGTGGAGGAAGTGTTCCTTTCATTTACACTGTTTTGTCTGGCAAACATGATTGTTAAACTCCAAGTGGTAGAAAACCCACCTAAATGGCTCAGACAAAAAGAAGAGCTTATTTTCCTTGTGTAACAAGATATTTGGATGGAGGCAATCACTGCACTGGTTCACCGGTTTACCAGTATCAAAATCAATTAGGATCAGTATACGTGCAATTCTTTTGGACTTTTCCTTAATGGTTACAAGGCTGTTCTGGAAGCTACTATATCTGCATTCATGGTAACACAAAACAAAAACAAAGGAGAAATGAGGAGCAGCAGTATTAATTATGCCTGCTTCTTTTGATCAGGAAGGTAAAAATTTCCTAAAAGTCCTCACAACAAACTTTTTTTTTTTTTTTTTTTTCCCGAGACAAGGTTTTGCTGTGTAGTTTAAGGTGGCCTTGAACTCACTCTGGAGCCTAGGCTGGTTTTGAATTTGCAGTGATACCCCTGCCTCAGCCTCCCGGGTGCTGGGATTACAGGTGTGTGCCACCAGCCCAGACTTATCTGTAGATTTCACTGTCCTTGCCAACTGGAACAAAATTAGGGTTATGTTCATAAGGAAAAAATAGACAGAGGTATGGGATGCTCTAACTCATAGTATTCATGGCCATTGCCATAAGGAGCTGATGAGAGCTTGTAGAGATAAAGTAATGTGTGTGAGTACTTGAATAATAGCATGATAGTTAAGAAAAGATATCAGGTAACAAAAATGTGCCAGAGCAGACATGTTAGAGGAGAGAAGGGCTTTAAGCTTGAATACATCCCACCCTCATTTTTGAAGCTCATGTGTTTCGGCTGAACTCTGTAGATAGACTTCTGCTTGCTGTACTGCGTGGAGCTGAAATCACTTCCCAAAGCAGAAGTGTGCTTTGAGTAAGTGTGCAAATAAACTTGGCTTCTTCGGGGCTGATGGGCAGGGAGTGGGAAACTGGTCTCAAAGCAATGACAAATCTCCTCCTTCTTGCTTCCCTAGCCCCCAGGGAAGTCAGATGAGATCACTGTAAAGAGTCAAATTCAAGAAAGACCTGTCTTCTTTTGGTGGAAGCACAAACATTTGTTTAAACTTTTGATTCTTTACTCCTAAAGCACTGTGACTTGACCCATTTGTATTTTTTTCAGAATTAAATTTTATTTCACATTGATAGAAATCATGAAAAACATTTCTATTTTCTTATATTAAAATACATTTCAATGGACTGCTTCTTGCTATAAATAAGATCTTACTGATTTGTGTAACTGAAATAAGTCTATGTTCTTCAAGGTAAAACAAAATGACTTAGTAGATGGTTGTTTAAAATTTTTAAACCCAAAAATAAACACATGGCTTCATTATAAATATCCCATGTAGTCCATTACTAGATTATTTCCATGATCAATTTGTACCATAAAGGTATGTTCTTAACATTGCCTTGATCAGCTGAACTATAGCAACAATTAACACAGTTCAGAAATATCAAGCATACATTTCTGTTACATTTTAAATGGTGTGGTAGCTATATCATATTTATGGGATTCTGACTAACTTTTACTTCTCATAAGTTTGTTTCCAAATAAATTTTTACTTTTGAGGGAGGGTACTGGGGATCGAACTCTTGCAAGGCAGGCATTTATGCCACTGAGCTAAATCCCCAGCCCTAATTTTTACTATTAATCTGGAAATTTTGACTACTTAAAATCAAGTGAACATTTTTATGTTTGCACAAAAGACTAATTTTCAAAAATAATTTGAAGTACAAGTTTAGAATAAAACCATTGGCACATAAAAATAAAGCAATTTTTTCTAACAAATTGTTCATTTTCTACAGCAATTGGTTTCAAACATTTGTACAGGAAAAAGTAAACTTACTGAAGCAAGGAAACTCAATAATTTTAGAAATCATTCTTTAAGATCAGTCTTTAATATTTCTATATACATCAGAATATGAACTAATTACTTTTTTAATTGCTTACAGAAACATAACAGCTTTTGTTACCTGAATCAAATATTTTAAATAACTAAGTCTAAATTTGGACTAAAGTACGATTATTTGAAATATATAAGAAGTATAAGTAATTTTGAGTTCTTTTAAAGTGATATAAATTTCAAATACCATATATCTGTGATTCAAAATATCAAATTGTAACCTATAGTAGACAGTAGATGTATGACTATGGCAAGCAGGCAGTATATCTGGTTTTCTATGAAGGATAATCATGAAAGAAAACTTTTTTCTTGAGAGGAGAATAATAGAATAGAATTGAATAGAAATAATATTAAGGAAAAGAAAAACCATTAAAAGAGCCATTTAATGAAGAGAGTAATGTTACCCTTTATAGACAAAAGCATTATTCTTATTATCAGGAATAATATAGGCCAGACATGGTGGCATATAACTGTCATCTGAGCACTCAGGAGGCTGAGGCAGAAGGAGGGCTGCAAACTGGAGACCAGCCTGGCCTGCAAAGTGAGCTTAAGGCCAGCCTGAACTGCATAGTGAGACTGTGTCTCAAAAAAAAAAAAAAAAAAAAGTAATAATAACAAGTAATTCTTATGTATTGTAATCACTATATATAATGAATATATAAATAAAAATATAGACACTACATAATGACTAAGCAATTTTGGAATAAATCTGTAGACTAAGTGGCAGCATGCATAAATCATACATACCTAAAGTGCTCATTTTACTTAAACAAATTTTCATTAAGCACACTGATAATTTTCAAATGATGTAATAAAAAGTCTGGTTGTAGCATTTTATTATTTTGTTGAATTATGTTTGAGATGAATCTAGTTGCCTCATCTATTTTAATACTGGTATATTCTGGATCACATTATACAAATACATGTGCTGAAACTTACAAAATCAACAAATTTTCCACAGGGAAATATTATTTCTTATATATCATTATGTGTATTTGGAAAACATTTTAACATTAGAAGTTTTAAGACTGCTCATGGGAAAAAGTTTATACTCTACTACGGCACTGCTGGTGTACTTCTTCTCCATAAGGCCTCCTCGTGAGGTCGATCAGTTGGAGGTAGGAGTTTATCAATGAATTGCTTTACATCCACTATTTCCTGTTGAAATGAACTGTGCATTATGTCTTTGTAGGTTTTGAAGATTACATTGGCTGGATTTAACAACAATTTTAGTTTTTCAACAGTAGAGGAACTAAACATTAGGAGAAATAAGGGATTGGAATCTCCATGGCACTGGACAACAGAAACATCTTTGTCAGTACCACTGATAGCACCTTGTGGAATCTAAACTCCAAGTGGAAGCCAGGAACTGAGTGCAATGACACTGCTAACTTGGATTGTGTGGTAAGAGTGGTATATAAATTATAATTCCTCTCTGGGAAAATCCTCCCAAAATAATTCTGTTAGAAGGAATGTGCCATTCTTCACCTCTTAACCTATTAAACCTTTTATGTTTAATTTCAGTTTCATCTCCCTGAGAATCTGGCAAAAGCATCCCTAAGTGGGTCTGGGGTAGTCAGCCCACCCCCAGAACTTTCCTGGGCTTGTCTTTCTCTCCAGTATGGAAAGAGGAAGAGGAGTCAGAAGACAGTGCAACAGGAGAGTGATGTTTATCGCGTATGGAACCACTTTGAGGAGCAGTAGCTTCCCAGCTGAGTAACCACTGAGTATGGGCAGCCGCCCTGTTTTTATGAGGTGAGTGGTGGCTCCTCCCTTTGGGGGCAGCCTCGCCCAATATGTTGATTTGTTGCTGGAGTTTGGGTCTCCTGGGCTAATAGAGGAACTTGGGTATGCATTTCAATAATTAGGGTCGACAGTGTTACAAAGGTAAGGCTGCAGACCGCCGGTTGTTTACATTCTCAGGACACCACAGAGGCCGTTTTTCTCTTACACTCTAAAGGGGCTGCATACCTTTTCTGACCCTTTTTAGGGGGTCTCATCTGTCCTTATAGTATCAAACCAGGAAGGCATAGCCCTGTTCATATGTAAAGTTACAGGCATAACTGGCACATATGGGCAGATATTAGATATGTGAACTTCCCTGATACTTGCAAAGGCTTCTGCCCATCTGTGCCCCAGTACGTGTAGTGATACCTTGGTTCATGAATTAAATTTGTTTCATGATTCAGGGGGAAGTGGCAGTGCTCATGTTCATTACCTGATGTGGAGTTTGTGAAGGGGTACCGCCTTTTGTTGAATGTTTCTGTTCACGAACTGAGTTGTTCATGAACAGAAGCACTTGTGAACCAACGTATTACTGTGTCTCCCAATCCATGAAGGAAAGTAACCACGCTGATGACCTTCTGGGTGATGGACCACAATGGCCGGCATCAGAACAGACACATAGCCACACATCTCCTGGATCAGCAGGTAATGATTCAGAAGTAGTCGAAAGAGCACGTACTAGGTGGCCCAAGGACATGTGAGTGGTGAGTCCCTGCCCACCTCACCAAGGGTGTACACTGGCATGTGTGCGCAGATGCCTTCTCCCATTATGTCTGTCTTTGGTGTAGTTGGGTACAGAGACTATGTTAGTTTGCTGGGGCAGCCATAGTAAAGTACTAGAAACTGGGTTTACTAAGCAGCAGCAATTTATTGTCCAAGATCAAGGCATCAGCAGAGTTGGTTCCTTCTGTTTGTTGTGAGAATCTGTTCCATGTCCCTGTCCTCAGTTCTGGTAGTTTGTTGGCAATCTTTGGCATTCCTTGGCTGATAGATGCATGACCCAGACTTCTGCCACATGTTCTCACAGCATTCTCCTTGTTTTCATATGTATGTCTAAATTCTTAAAAAAGTACATCAGTCATATTAGATCCACAGTACTCTATAAGTTGATCTTGGGGAAGGCAGGGCACAACAAAGCTGGATGGGGGAGTAAGTAGGGCCTATTAATTACAAGATCCCAGGACACATATGCCAAATAAGTCTCAGCACCACATATGTTGACTTCGTATGGGTTCCTGCAGTATGTGGAATGAACGAGAGGACACAGACACCAGGAAGAGCTCACTATCGTGACTTTCCTCATGATAGCCACACTGTGACTCACAGGGTATGCTTTTTTGTTTTGTTTTTCTTCTCCCTCTAACTCAGCCCAAGCTTGCTCCTCAGACCCAGTTTCTACATCACCCTTCATTTTCAATTTTTTCTACCCCAAATAAATGTGAAACTTTGCCCTGTTTTCACTTATTTCATTCAATTCTTGGTTTGAGATGGAAAGAACCTGGAAACCATCTCTAGAAGGAGACCTCAGCTCCCCAAAACCTGGTGACAATGTCATCATAGCTAATTTTGTCTACAAAGATCCTATTTCCCAATACAGATCCTATATTCCCTATATTCCTATATTCCTATATTCCCAATACATTTGAGTTCCAGGTGTTAGAAGTTCAGCTTATAAGTGTTGATGGGAACACATTTGAATCTGAAATTTGGATCCAGGAAGGAAGTTTGATGTGATGTTAGGAGTGAGGACTTGGAGATAAGTGACTTGGTTTGAATTTTGACTGTGATGTTTATTTGTGCAGTGATTTTGGGCAACCTGCTTAGCCTTTTTGAACTTTAGTTTCCTCGTCTCTAAAATGAAGATGATAACAGGTAATTTAGAAAGTTGTTGAAAATTAAATTCAGTGATGATTTTAAGTGCAAAGTAAGTGAAAATTTTTTTTATTATTCATAATATGTAGTTCATCAACTCTTTGACACTCCCATGTGTGACAGAATATAGGCAGCTCTTTGGACTGGAAACTTCTTCCCATCATCAATGCAACTTGGAAATAGTGGTGTTTCTTCCTTTTGGTCTTCCTGACGTTGCTAGAATTTAACTATTCTTTGAGTCAGTTGACCACATTTGTTTTTCATTTGATGTATGACCCTCCTTCATGCATGCCCAGAAGGAAAAATGGTCTTTGTCAATCAGGAAAACTCACCCTACTACTGAATTTCCTTCTGTGCATCCTTTCTGGAAAAAAAAAAAAAAGACAGATTCACAAATTTTCATGCTATTTTTTGGTCAATTTTAATCTCAAAAGATTATAAAGTTTCATTATTTCTCTAGTTCTAAAGATGAACATCCAAAGGTGGTAGCAAAGACTGGAGCTCCTCTGAAGAAGGACACAGGGAGACTTCCTTCTTCTTTCTCTTTTTATTCCCTCCAGGGCACAAGTCTCTTGATTGGTGCCCCCCACCTCTGGTGTGGGGTTTCTCTGCTCAGATTCAGACTTACATGTCAATCATCCACAGACACACCCAGAATTGTGTTTCACTAATCTGCTAGTCCTTCCTTTCTCTTTCTTTCTTTCTTTCTTTCTTTCTTTCTTTCTTTCTTTCTTTCTTTCTTTCTTTCTTTCTTTCTTTCTTCTATCTCTCTCTTTCTCTCTTTCTTTCTTTCATTTGTTTTTGTGACTAATGGGAATCAAACTCAGGAGCTGGCAGTTGCCAGGCAGGCGCTGTGCCACTGAGCTATATCCCTAGCCCTGCTCATCATTTCTTAATCCGCTCAAGTTGACAATTTAATTAATTATCACAATCTACCCTTTGTCATCTTGACAGCCAATTTCCTTAAACTATAATCCATATGAAATAGCAAGTTCATAACCATGCTTAACGTAATACAACCATCCTGCATGCAACCAGAAACATTAATTCTCTCCCCAAAATAAAAGGCAATGTTTTTCTTTGTGTAATACTTACTATTTTCCTAACATTTCATGATTTAAAAATTATAATATAGATTTAATAATACTTAAGGACATACTAAATATATGAACATTATATTACAAAGAAAGAAAACAAAAACATCTGCTTGATATGCACAAGTATATTAACAAAATAGGAAAAAATATTTAGGACAATCACAATCTTCATTTGTATAACTAGTCATGTGGTAGTAGTTGGTATTTATAACTATCTTCTTCTGCCCACTTCTTTATTCCCTTGGCCTTCAGCAAGCACTCCTGTAGGTCTTTGTTCTTTACCTGGCATAATGACCTATGCCTTCATTCTTGAAGTTTCTGGACCATTTATCATCCTGCTTGAGCAATACTGTTATAATTTCCCATCGGCCTTTATAACAGGGTATGGTAATACTAGGAGAGACCCTAAAGAATCTCCTATACGCCAAATATGTTCTTCCTTCCCTCCACTGTGGTTAACCATACAACTTATCCCATGGTAGTTCATCATCCCCACCAACACTGAACTCCCATTTTAGCTTGATTACTCAGAGGTGTGAGAATCCCAAAATGACCAGAGGGACATCTTAGCTTCCAGGTTAAAAGAATCTTCATCATGCTTCCTGGTAAAAATCTTCCCCATTCTAGAACTAATACTTCTAGGCCAGAAGAGCATAGGTTGAGAACAGAAAGCAAAAAATTGTGCTAGTAGGTCACTAGGAGCTAATGAAGAGTTGGTACCATTCTCACTTCCACTCCTTGATTCCTGGACCTGAAGATCTTGACTGTGGAAAAAATAGCACCCTATAGTAGATGCTGATTGAAAGCATATGCAGCTTCTAGAGAACCTTGCCCCAGCCCTGAAAGGTGTACATTTAGCTGGTGCTGTAATTAGCTCTTTAAAAGGCCATACCCTTCTATCAGTCCAGCTGCTTCAGGATGGTTAAAAATACGGTAAGATCAGTGAATTTCATGAGCATTGGCCGGTTGTCTCACTTCTCTGGCTGTGAAATATGTTCCTTGGTCAAAAGCAATGATATGTGGAATACCATGATGTGGATAATGCGTTCTGTAAACCCATGGATCACAGTTTTGGCAGAAGCATTGCAAAAAGAAGACAAATCCATACCCAGATTAAGTATCCATGCCAATAAGGACAAAATGCAGCCCTTTGCATGATGAAAGTGGACAGTTTAATCAATAAAGCACCACATTGCAGGCTGATCACACCAGGGAATCATGCTATATTGGGGACTCAGTGTTGGTCTCAGCTGCTGACATACTGAGTATTCAGCAGTGGCTGCAGCCAGGTCAGCCTTGGTGAGTGGAAGATCGTGTTGCTGAGCCCATATGAACTTTCGTTCTTCTGTAGCAGAAAATGCACCACCCCACCTGACAGAATATTTCAGTTTCTGTTAGTTACCCAGGTATTTAGCTCACAGTTTGTAGAGGTTTCAGTTCATAATTGGCTATGTGTAGGCAGCCTCCTAAGTCTTAAAACTGCATGTTACTAAGAAGAACAAGTCTCATCTTTGTGAGGAACATGGAAAAGTCAGTACTGAGGGTATTCCCTTCTTTTCTGGAATTTTGTAGACCATTTTCCATCACTTGTGATGACCCACTGCTCCTTGATTCTGCATTCATACTCATGTAAATTCCATTCTTTGCTATGTAAGTTCCATTTGTCTCTGTCCTCTAACTTCTGGTAAGAGGGCTTCCTGTCTACCCTGTTACCCATGGAACAGAATTTTTTGGTTTTACTGTCAGTCTCTTTCCTGTTATTTTGTTTGTTTGTTTTGGTTTTGGTACTGAGGATCAAACTCATGACCTTATGCCTGCCAAGCAGGAACTGTGCCACTGAGCTACAACATCAGCACCCCCATTACTAAGTATAGAGTAATCAGGACTCTCACCCAGGGAGACTACTCAGACATAGCTTTACAAACAGGACTGTATTTAACCCTCAGAATTTTGGGCAGTGTATTCTATATAAGAGTCAAGCACTGTTCAAATGAAAAAAACCAAAACCAAAACCAAAACCAAAACCAAAACCAAAACCAAAACCAAAAAACCACCCTAGGGTTGAGGGCCTTTCACTAAATGTTTTGATGTTTATTTTATCTGTCGGAGTTAACATGTAAATATGTGGATAAAGTCATGCTGGACCACTTTCATTTGTTCCCTCTCTGTGTACACTTCAGACACATTCCACCAGACAAAGGAGGAGACCAAGTCAGGCCACAGAGACATTTACTCATATCAAACCTTCTGTTGAATCCAGTGCTTTTCTTATAGAAGTGCTGTTGGGGAGGGCAATTATATGTGAGCTATTACCACAATAATGCTGTGCAAACATCATTCCACAACTCAGTGGATTAAAACAATAGTTTGTTGTTCTGCATCCGTGGTTTTATGGGTCAGTGACAATTTAGCTGGGCTAGCATGCTGTTCCAGATACTAGGCTATGGACTGGATTCAAGTTTGCTCCAAGTGTTATTCTGTGGCCCAAGTCAAAGTGGCAGCATCTACCTGGAGTATATTCTATGGTGAATTATCAGAACACAAAATAGCATCCTAGCCTTACAAGCATATTTCAAACCTTTGTTCTGTCACATGGTACATCCCAAAGGTAGATATAATCTAGTTTCAGGAAGCTATGCAAGATGATAGATACCTCTAGCAAAAGAGAATGACCAATTTGTAGTAATTTTTCAAAATGACCTGTACCCTATGATAATGTTGGTGTGTATCTCTTCTGGGAAATTTTTGATTCTCTTTGGGTTTTTCGTGTAGTCAAAGTCAGTGCCTGTGTCACTGGGG